TCTGGTGCTATTTCCAGGTCTGGAAGATTTTGTATCTTCCTTTTGATATCTGCAATCAGTTGCAGATCTGTTGGTTTCAACCTTTTATCCCCGTGCGGACTTGTTTTGCAGTAAAGTGGTCCAAGCAATGTCCCGAGTTTCGGGATGTAAGTCCTCGCATAGTTCAGGATTCCTAGCCAGGAGCGCAACCCGGCTTTGGTCTTTAGGCTGTCATCCTCAAATTGGAGGATTTTCCTGATGATATGAGGTTGGAGTCGAATTTTCCTGTTGCCGATGATGGCTCCTAGGAATTCAATTTCTGGGACTGCCAACTTCATTTTGGTTGGTGATAACACCAAACCATGCTGTTTGCACCTTCTAAGCATTTCTGTTAAATGCTTTGCATGCTGCTCTTCTGTATCTGAGAATACCAGTATGTCATCTATGTATACTGCTATGTATTCTTCTGTTCCTTCAAAACAGTGGTCCATCTTCCGCTGAAAGATGGAAGGAGCATTCTTCAGTCCGAATGGCATGACAAGCCATTCGTATAAGCCTCCAGGGACGATGAAAGCTGTCCATGGGATTGATTCCTCTTCCATAGCAACCTGGTGAAAACCAGATTTTAGGTCGAATTTTGAATAAATTCGACTGTTGCCAATACGTTTGAGGATCGTATTTATGCTTGGTAGGCTGTACTGGTCTTTGTGCGTATTGTCATTCAGAGTACGGTAGTTGAATACCATACGCTCCTTTCCTTTTTCTTCCTTCTTTGTTTTGGGATTGATGAAAGTACCAGATTGTACGATCATTGCCATTGTACGATGTCTGCTCTTTGAAGGACGAATTACTCCTAGCTGTAGTAACGCAGTAATATGCTTCTTGAAAGCATCTTCTGTTGCTGGAGTTACGTGTTTCAGTGGCTTGTCCTGAATAGTTAGGTCTGGATTGATGATGTCAATCTTGCATGTGACCTGATTCTTGGACCAGTGCTTCAAGGGATCTTCGCCAATATATCCCTGTGCTTTAAACTCTTGAAGGAGTTTACTGAACCTTTGAACGAAACGTTCATTGGTTCCTTCTTTGCCATAGTATACCGCTTCTTGAATTGAGCGGTATTCTTCCTCATTCATATCTAACTCTGGAATTGCCATGGCGGCCTTCTGAATCTCTGTAGTGGTGTGGAGGGTAGTGATGTTTTTGTAGAAGGTTACAGTGGTTCCTTCTATTCGTAAACCTCCACTGTTGGCTTTGATGAAATTACAGCCAACGAGCATTTGGATTCCGTCTTTTACTGTCATATCGATGGCATATGTAAAAGGAATCCTGAAGCGGTGTTCACCAATGGTCATCATTCCATTTTTGACCTTGGTTTTTGACTCTTGAACTGAGCTAACACAGTTAAAAGTAACTGAGTAGCTAAGGGCTTCTAATGCTTCTGCAGGAACTGCCTTCCTGTCGATGCAGCATGTTGTGCATCCTGTATCAAGAATAGCCTGGATAGAGAATTTAGACAATCCTGGTATGTCCATCTCGATAATCATATTATAAAGTCTATTGATTAGACTTCCATTTCCTCCAGGGCTAACTGATTTTAAGGCCATTACGGTCTCTTCTCCATCTGCCTCGGTTGTTTCTCCTTTATCCTTCTCTTCCAGTGTAAGTCTATCTTTTTCAAGATCTTGGATAAGGATTAAGGCCTTTAGCTGAGCTAATTCATCTTTGAGGCTTTGGTTTT